CGGATGAGCCCTACAGGACCAGTGGTGTGAGTGGCATAGTGTTTAAGGGTGTTGAGATGGAATTCCTCAAGGACAGCAGTTTGAAACGAGGGAGAGAAATGGGACTTTCGACTTGTGTAAACAGTTACCATCTTGGTAACTCACAGCTGCAGTTCTACCCTGTCCTATAGGGTTGCTATGAATCAGTATTAACTCCTTGGCAGTGAAGTTTGTTTTCTTTTTTTTAATCCCGCATGGCATAGTGGCTTTGGGTTGGGCTGCTAATCCCAAGGTCAGCAGTTTGAACTCACCAATCACTCAGAGGAGAAAGATGAAGCTTTCCATTCCTGTAAAGAGTTAGTCTTGGAAATTCACAGGGGAAACTCTACTCTGTCTAATATGGTCTTTGTGAATAGGATTTGAGGGCTGTAAGATTGTTTTTTTCCCTTTTCCTTAGGTTATAGCCTGAGATACGAGGACATGGGAAAATGAAATTGGTTAGTCAGTGGAGCCTTTAAAAATGCCTTCTGTGAGGAACATGGCTGTGCTGGGGGGTTGGTGGGGTTGGGCATGGGAGGCCCATTCCAGTCATGGTTTTCCCCTAACTACTTGGGTAACCTTGAACAAACCACTGAACCACCTCTCCTCCTCTGGCCCTCAGCTTTAAAATTAAGATGGCGAATGAGATACTTTTGTTACAGCTCTTTCAGTTTGAAAAGTTCTTTAATCTTCAAAGGACTACATGCCCACTGTAGATGTCATGTTGGAAGGGATCTCTCTGTCCCCCTCCCCCCAAACCCATTCCCTTGCTGTTGAACTGGTTGTGATTCTTGGCAATCTCATGTTAAGGAGTACAATTGCCCTATTGTTTTTCTTGAACGTAATCTCAACCTTTAGACAAGCACAACTGGTTTCACCATCCAGGGACTTTCAAAGGGAAAGTTGACCCAAGAGTTGCAGGAGAATTGCTGCTACTAATCTTTTGAAATCCTGAGTGAAAATGAATCTGCTGTAGGAAATGATAAGAGCTGGTTGTGATGGACTGCTTAGCTGAAGTTAAGTACTGCTTGAAGCCAATTCACTGTATTGTCTTTGTCTTTTATTGTGGTATACACAGTCTAAAATTTACCATTTCTACCATTTTCAAGGGTTCCATCCTGTGGCATCAACCACACTCACAGCGTGGTGCAACCATCACTATTATTAATTCCTAAAACTTTTTCATCACCTCCACAAAGGAAAACTCTGAATCGATTTTTTCTGTTTTTTTTTTTTTAATGACAGGTCTATTGAGGTATAAGGCACACGTAACATTCACCCACTTCAGAAGCGTTTTAGCACACATAAAGATTTGTGCAACTCTTACCACAGTGCTATGCAGCATTGCTATCATCTTGGTTTTCACAAATATGTGCACTGAAACTCAGAGAAGTTTAGTAACTTGCTCAAGCTCACATGGTTGTAGGTGGAGGAATTCAGCAGAACTGGAGGCCAGACAAATCGATTCAAGAGCCCATGCTTTAAACCACTTCTCTCTGCTGCCCCCAGGAAGCCTCTTAGGTTATTTTCTGCATCTTTTCAAAACCTATGGGTAGCAGGCATCTTCATCAAGTCCCATGCAATGTGTGCAGTTATTCTCACGATCCGGATTACCTTTATCTTGCAGGTTCTCGGCTACCCCATGAGTTTCTTTGATACAACTCCAATGGGCCGACTCTTGAACTGCTTTGCTGGGGACTTGGATGAGCTGGACCAGATCTTGCCCATGCTTACTGAGGAGTTCCTGCTCTTGGCTCTGTTGGTGATTTCCATCCTGTTGATTATCAGCTTGCTGTCTCCATATGTCCTGGTGATGGCTGCATTGTTGAGCATCATCGGCCTTGTGTTTTACACGTGAGTGGGCGCCTTTTGCTTGTGAGTGTGATGTGTGACTTGGGGTGAGGGGATTGTCCGAGAGTGTAATTATCCAGGTCGTTCACTCTTATTCTTGATGCAGGAGGTTCAAAAGGGCCATCAGCATGTTCAAGAGATTGGAGAATTACAGCCGATCCCCTTTATTGTCGCACGTCCTCACCTCTCTGTATGGCCTGAGCTCCATCCATGTCTATGGAAAAATGGAAGAGTTTGTCAGCAAGTAAGTCCCACCGTTGTTCACCTGAAGATGATAGGTGCTATAGCAGTGGCATGGAGTGGAAGGTAGAAAAAATTATATTCATAATTGCTAAATCCAAATAGAGGCTCCACAGACATGCATTCAACCAACCTTCTAATGTTTTATAGTTTTCAATTTTTTTTGTAGTAAAAGACTAGGAAAAAATAAAGGATGCATCTGTTAAAAACTCATTGACACTTTAGTAAATTCTGAATCACAGTGACCCTTTAAAGGTAAAAGGTAAAAGAACTGCCCCTTTAAGTTTCTGAGGCTGTAAATCTTTTCAGGAGCAGAAGCCTCATCTTTCCTCTTGAAGAGAAGTTGGTGAGTTTGAACTGCCAACCTTGTGGTTAGCAGCCCAAGACTACACCACCAGAGCTAGATGCTCCTATTTGCTCATGCAAATTAAGAGTCTAGAGGGAAGACTGAAATCAAATAAGGATGGTCCCAGAGGCTTAGACGTGTCTCTAGAAACTCTGTTTGCTGTTGTTTTACTGTTATGGCTTACATGGTGTTAATTTTAGCCAGCACCTTGGAGACTCCACCGCAGCTCCAGGGTCCTCTCCTGGTAGCAAAGTTGCTGCAATGACTTCATACCTCCTATGATCCAATTGAAGAACTCTCTTCCAGTCATGTACTCATAAACCCTAGCAGTTATTGAAGCATTAAAGGCAGGGGACGAGTATGGGAACACTGGGTTAGACTGACTTATGTGGTCTTCAGATTGTGCTTCTCCCCTCAGGTTTAAAAGGCTGACTGATGCACAGAGTAACTACCTGCTAATGTGCCTGTCTGCCACTCGATGGGTGGCATTGAGACTTGAGATCATGACCAACCTGGTGACCTTGATGCTAGCCTTGTTCGTGACTTTCGGCGTTTCTTCCACCACCTATTCCTATAAAGCCATGGCTCTCAGCTTTGTCTTGCAGGTGAGAGAAGGACCCTTTGACAAGCAGGGATTTTCCAGGCTGAGCTTGTCTCAGGCCCGTGGCCTCTGGAAAGACTCAGAGGTCCATCTGCCTTTGATTACAACTTGGGTTTTAGCAGTCTTATGAACTTTGTGCTTGATCTTCTGAATGCTGCTTCTTTGCTTGATTTCCTGGTGTTAGTTCTGAGTTGAGAAGTCTGAATTTAGAGATACTTCATGAAATTGTAGAACATTGGGATAGAAGGGAATCTTATAGGTAACAGAGCCCAATCCTTGTGAAGATGGGGAAACAGAGACTAAAAGAGTGAAGGAGCTGTCCAAAATGGACAGAGTGTTATAAGCAGAGCCAGGGCGAGAACCCTGACTTCTTGGTTTCCTGGATAATATCTCTTTACTTTACTGTTCATAACCAATCAAATTCTCAAATGTTTGTGAATCACTAGGTAGGGGGCTTGGGTGTTGTTTAAAAAAGCAAGTTTCCCTAGAGTGGGGCTTTTCTAACTTTAATATGCATAAAAATTAAAAAGAGTTTTTTACCCCATCCTTGGAGATGTTATTAATCCTGGGTCTGGGTGGAACCCACAGAAGTACCGCATTGGAGGAGCACTGCTATAGAGATTGTGGGTCAAGTCCTGGAGCTGAGAAGGTTGGGATTTACTTATTTATTTATTTAAGGATCGTTTCATTGGGGGCTCTTATAGCAATTCATACATCAATTGTATCAAGCATATTTGTACATATGTTGCCACCATTCTTTTCTCGACATTAACTTTCTACTGAGCCCTTGCTATCAGCTCCTCTTCCCGCCTTCCCCACCCCATCCTCGTGACCCCTAGATAAATTATAAATTATTATTATTTTCATATCTTACACTAATCATTGTCTCCCTCCCCCTGTGGTTTCTGTTGTCCATTCCCCTGGACAAGGGGGGGGGGTGTTGTGGTTATGTGTCGATCATCGCGATTGGTTCCCCCTGCCTCTCCTTTTCTCCCCACCTTCCTCCTACCCTTCTGTTATTGCTACTCCCACTCCTGTTCCTGGATTCTGTGTTTTGTGGACTCTCATCTCTTAGCTGTACCTATGCGCATACTTTAGTCTAGACATGTTCAGTCTAGCCCGCAGTGAAAGGTAGTACAGTACTGGGGTCTTGATAGTGGGGGATGAGGAAGCCTCAAGGAACCAGAGGAATATTGTGTTCCTGTGGGGTATTCTGGTGTAGTAGGTCTGTGTACCTCGCTTGGAGAAACATGGCCAAAATCCTTGATACTGGGCTACACAGGCATTTGAGGAATGAAGACAGAATGGCTATTTAAGGCTCATCATCTACAAAAATCCACACAAATACTGTCCATCAAGGGCCAATTCAGGGAATCCTGGGTGAACAGGTCCAGTGCAAACCATCCATTGCGGTTATACAATTGGCCTTGTCTCTAACTGGCTTGAGTTCCTATGTATTTATCACTGCGTTTTTCATCATTTCCCAATGATGATACATTATTTTTATACGCATAGGGCCCTGTCTTGCTCCTTATTGAGCCTCTTGTAATAGGTACTCATTTATATATCTGCCTGGGTTCAGAATCTTCCACAGCCAGGTAGAGATGTGACTGTGCAGTGCTTAGTCATAGACACCTAATGAGTACAACACCAATTGAATTTATTGAGAGAATACACTGAGATTGTGGTATGTTGCTCTATTTTCTTTCCTTTAATTTTCACAACACTCCAAGCATGACCTTAAATATACTGTGCCTGAATAGACTGAAGACCAAAGAGTTGTGGTATGAAATAATCTTCAAGCCTTTAAAACCCCAGATGCTATATCTTTTGATAACCGGCCACCATCAGCTTTCTTCACCACATTTGCTTATGCACTCTTTTGTCTTCAGGAAGGTGGGCACCCACTGATATGATTCTTTTGTTCTTTGATGTCTGATACCTGGTCCCTTCTACACCTCGTGGCCACACAGGCTGGTGTGTTTCTTCCATGTGGGCTTTGATGCTTCTGAGCTAGATGGCTGCTTGTTTATCCACAAGCCTTTAAGGCCCCAGATGCTATATCTTTTGATAGCCGGGCACCATCAGCTTTCTTCACCACATTTGCTTATGCACATATTTGTCTTCAGCGATTGTGTCAGGAAGGTGTGCATCATGGAATGCAAATTTAATAGAACATGTTCTTGCATTGAGGAAGTACTTGAGTGGAGTTCCAATGCCCATCTGCTGTCTTAATATTAAACCTATAAATATATGCACGTAGATCTATTTCCCCATCCTCATATATAAATATATTTACATATATACATGCCTGTATTTAGACCTCTATAAATCCCCTTTGTCTCCTAGTTCTTTCCTCTATTTCCTTTTACTTTCCTCTTGTCCCACCATCATGCTCAGCCTTCATTTGGGTTTCAGTAATTTCTCTCGGTTACATTACCCTTGCCGAATCCCTACCAGGCTTCTCACACCCTCCTTGCCACTAATTTTGAATCACTTGTTGCTCCACTGTCCCTGGGTTTGTCAACACCACCTCCTTACTCCCGCCTCCCCCTTTCCCATGTCCCCTGGAACCATCGGTTCCATTGTTTTCTCCTCCAGACTGTTTATCCAGCCTATTTTATCTAGATAAATCTGTAGAGATAATAATATGCACCAGAAAACAAGGCATAGCAAGACAAGGCAATGAATGAGAACACAGCGATGACAACAAAAAAGAAAACCAATGACCCATAAAATAATAAATTAATTAAAATAAAAAAGAAAATAAACAACAAAGCCCACATGGAAGAAGCACACCAGCCTGTGTGACCACGGGGTGTCGAAAGGATCAGGTATTAGGCATCAAAGAACAAAAAATTATATCATTGTAAATGAGGGTGAGGCAGAGTGGAGAGCCAAAGCCCATCTGTAGGCAACTGGACACCCCCTTACTGAAAGGTTGCAGGGAGGAGATGAGGCAGTCAGGGTGTGATGTAGCAACAATTAAACAGAGAACTTTCCTCTAGTTCCTCAATGCTTCCTCCTCCCCAACTATCATGATCCCAATTCTACCTTACAATTATGGCTAGACCAGAGGATGTACACTGCTACAGACAGGAACAAAATACAGGGAACCCAGGGTGGATGACCCCTTCAGGACCAGTGGTGTGAGTGGTGATACTAGGAGGGTAGAGGGGGGGTGAGTTAGAAAGGGGGAACCGATTACAAGCATCTACATGTGACCTCCTCCCTTGGGGATGGACAACAGAAAAATGGGTGAAAGGAGATGTCAGACAGGGAAAGATATGATGACATAATAATTTATAAATTATCAAGGGTTCATGTGGGAGGGAGGAGCGGAGAAGGAGGGGGAAAATGAGGAGCTGATGCCAGGGGCTTAGGTGGAGAGCAAATGTTTTGAGAATGACAAGGGCAATGAATGTACAAATGTGCTTTACACAACTGATGTATGTATGGATTGTGATAAGAGTTGTATGAGTCCCTAATAAAAGGATTAAAAAAGTTTAATCTTTGAGTTGCAATATTGAAACATTCTACAGACAAAATATTGAATGAAGTAGAAAGATGGAAGGACGAAAGAAAGAGAGCCAGTGTACCAAAAAGATTTGGCTGATATTCAACCATTTCAAGATTTCAGGAAGTAGTATGTGATCAGGAATTGATGCTATTTAAGGAAGAAGTCCAATCTGCTCTAATGACAAAAAATAAGACAGAAGGAATTGACAGAATACAGCCTGAGCTAATTCAACAAACCGACAGAACACTGGAAATACTCACTTGTCTGTGCCAGAAAATTTGGGAGGCATCTACCTGGCTAACTGGCCGGAAGAGAGCATATTTGTGCCCATTCCAAAGAAAAATGATCCAACCAAGTATGGAAATTATTGAACAATGTCATCAATACCACAGACAAGTAAAATTTTGCTGGAAATAGTTAACAATGGCTGCAACACTGTCAACAGGGGACTATCAGACATTCAAGCCAGATCCTGAAGAAGACGTGCAAGCGGGAGATCATTGCTGATGACAGCTGCCTGCTGGCTGAAGGTAGAGCATACCCGAGGATATTTTCCCACGTTTCATTCACTATGCAGGATTTCAACTCTGTTGATCATAAAGGGTTATGGAGAGAATTGTGAAGAATAGGAATTCCAAAACACTTAATTGTGCGCATACAGAAACTGCCTATAGACAAAAATTCAGTCATTCCATCGGAACAAGGAGATACTGTTTTTCCTAATTTAAATTTAAAGAAGAACTCAACATCACGATTTGAGGAAGATCAGCCCTGCAGGACCAGTGGTGTGAGTGGCAAAACAGGGAGGGTAGAGGGAGAGTGGGTAGGAAAGAGGGAACCGATTACAAGGAACTATATGTGACCTCCTCCCTGGGGGATGGACAATAGAAAAGTGGGTGAAGGGAAACATCGGACAGGGCAAGATATGACAAAATAACAATTTATAAATTGTCAAGGGCTCATGCGGGAGTGGGGAGCGGGGAGGGAGGGGAAAAATGAGGACCTAATGCCAGCAGTTTAAGTGGAGAGAAAATGTTTTGAGAATGATGAGGGCAATGAATGTACAAATGCGCTTTACACAATTGATGTGTGTGTGGATTGTGATAAGAGTTGTATGAGCCCCTAATAAAATGATTAAAAAAAAAAAAGAACTTAAGAAAAAAAAAATCAGCAATATAAAGATGGCACAACCTTCCTTGCTGAATATAGAAAAAACTTGAAGCACTTAGTGATGAAGATCAAATACATAAATATAACACAAAGAATAAATAACATAAAGAAGATATAGCAAACAAACCTCACAACTAGACCAATAAGCAGTATCATGATAAACAGAGAAAAGAAGTTGTCAAAGCATTTATTTTATTTGGATCCACAATTAACACCCAGGAACGCAACAGTCAGGAAATCCAATGATGTATTGCAATGGGCAAGTTTGCTATAAAAGATCCTATAAAGTATTAAAAGGCAGAGATGTAACTTTGGTGTCACTAAAGGATATCTTACCCCAGTCTGGCACTTTAAACAACTTCATATGCATGTGCAAGCTGGACAACAAATCAATAAGTAAGGAAGACTAGAAGCGTTGATGGGTTTGGATTATGATGCAGAGCAGGAAGAGACTGCCAGAAGAATGAACAAATCGGTCTTGGAAAAAGTACATCCAGAAAATTCCATAGAGTGAGGATGGCAAGACTTTATCTCCTGTACCTTAGGCAAGTTACCAGGAGTGGGCAATTTCTAGGAAAGGACACCATGGATGGTAAAGCAGAAGACCAGTGAGAAGAAAAAGACCCTCAATGATGTGACTTTGCACAGTGGCGGCAACAATGGGCGCCAGTAGAGTAATGACTGTGAGGATGACACAGTGAGGATGACACAGGACTGGCCAGGAGGTTGTTCTAGGGGGTTTTATGAGTCAGAATGGATTGGAGAGCACCCAACAGTAACAAAATGTTAACCATTATTGTGGACTTGGTTTGAGGAGTAGGGGAAGGGTAATGGGTAGTCGCCAGGGGCTTTGAGAGCTTGCACACCTCAGTAGTTTCTTGACTTCCTGCCACTTCTCATTGGTTCCAGCTGGCATCCACCTTCCAGTGCACTGCCCGGATTGGCTCTGAGACAGACGCACACTTCATGGCTGTGGAGAGGATACTGCAGTACATGAAGGTGGGGTTCAGCTCTCACTCTAGGGAAAATGCTCTGAAAGCACCACATACAGCCAGGGGAAACATCTGGGGCCACTGCAGCCTTCTAGACCCTTCCTCCTCATCTATCCCAGAATACCTCTGAACTTTTCAGGATAATACCATTGGCTTTTTTTTTTGACTAACACAACGTCTCAAAGCATTGCTGTGAGTTATCTGCCCATTTTAGAAATGAGAGATTATATACCTTGCCAAAGAGTAAGAATAATATTGTTATTATTGTTGTAATCATAATTGCTACAACAATTGCGATAAACCAGAAGTTCCCATCAGTTGCTGGGGAGGCAGTCTGACTCAGGACGACCCACGGCTGTAGGGCAGACAGCCTCACTTTTGCTCCATGGAGTTTTTGAGGCTGTGTTTTCAGAAGCAGATTGGCAAATCTTTCTTTCAGTCAGCTCTGGTGGGTTTAAACTGTCATCTTTTTGCCTTGTAGTGGAGCAAATTCCATGAGTCCCACCCCTAAGGAGCCCTGGTGCCATAGTGGTGACGCACTGGGCTGCAATCCCCATGGTCGGCAGTTTGAAATCCACAGCAGCTCCTTGGGAGAACCACTGGGCTTTCCACTTCCATAAACAGTTACAGTCTCGGAAACCTGCAGGAGGTAGCTAAGAGCCATTATGAACTCCATGACAGGGAGAAGGGCTATTATTATTGTTGTTATTGCTTCTATTTATGTCATAGAAGTTAAGATCATAGATTTTGGAGTCAGGTTGCCTGTATTAAAGTACATGTTTTTCTACTTGGATTAGCTGTGTAGCCTTGGGCAAGATATTCAACCTCTTTGTTTCCCATTCCTTAATGGGAAAAATAACAGTATCTATGACATTGGGGTGTTCCCAAGCTCTTTACAGTGTAAAGAGCTTAGAGTAGTATCTGGTCCATAGCAACCCTTTAATACTGTTCGCTATTAGGATTGAGCCCTTTATATAAATTATCTCACAGAATCACAAAATAATTTTTTGAGGTCAATTGAATTAGTATTCCAATTATTCAAATGAGGAAACTGAGATTTGACTAAGCTGAACATTTGCTAAAAAAATCACATAGCCCGGGCTGGCAGAGCCCTGTGCTCCTAAAGCCTTCTGTCCCTCTTAGTGAAAGGAGCTAGGACTGGCAGCCAGGTTTCTCTGCTTCTTTTCCGGGATTCTTTCCTCTCAGGGTACCACCCCACGACTGATGCACAAATTATTAGGCTTGGAGGTAGGCTGGCCTGAGCTTGAGCCCCCGCTCATCCAACCATAAACTGTGTGATCTTAATTAAGCAAGTGGTTTAACTTGTTTTAGCTTCTAGTGCTGTTCCCAAAAGTGAGCAATGCTAGCCCCTAGGAAGCACTAGAATGATCTAATGGAGCAGTAAAAGCAAATAGCCACACTATCCTGGATTAAAGGCTATAGTAGAAAGTTTTTAATTGGCAGGGGGTGGCAGAGGTGGGGTGGCACAGAGTAGGGTTTTTTTCCTGAAAAGAGGCCGGTAGGCCAAATAAATGTGGCAACATATAGTCTCTTTGCTTTCCTGTAAAATGAATCTAAAAATGCCTACTTCACAGGATGAGGCTAGAGAGAAAGAGGTCTGAGCGAGGACTCTGAGCTAAAAAACACACCCTCTGAGGTGGGTTATCTCCACTGTCCTCAGTTATTCTGTATTATATTTCTGTAGAGCCAGATACACAATCAATTAGAAAAAGTGCTCTAAGCTATAATGAAGGAGCTAGCTATTTGAGCTATTCATTCTTCTGGGACAACATTATGAGCATTTCAGGTGAGTAAAGGGTCTTATGAAGTACAGGAACCTATTGTGGGTTTCTCTGGTCACACATGCTGTGTGACCATGATGCTCAGCAGGCTGGGAGAGTCACATACCTAGCACCTGATGTCAGTGGGTTGGTGGGTCTGGCCCAAGGTTGATGATGACTGCTGATTTCTTTTTCTTTCTTTACAAATGAGATGAGTGAACCTGAGGCTCCTTTGGTCACGGAAGGTGTGAGCTGTCCCCCTGGGTGGCCCCAGCATGGGGAAATAATCTTCCAGGATTATCAGATGAAATACCGAGTCAATACTCCAATTGTCCTTAAAGGCATCAACCTGACATTTCGCAGCCAAGAAGTTGTGGGCATCATGGGAAGGACGGGCTCTGGTGAGCTGAGCAGGGATGGGGTAGGGCTTTCTTGTCCTAGCCTTTGGTCTTTGAGAGTCAGTTTAATTTGAAGGCATGTGTTCTTGGCAAGTGTTTATTGCACTCTGTGCTGGGTCTGCTAGCTAGGGCCATGACCAAAATTCCCAGGTTCTACAGCTGTGGCATTCCAGTGGGAGAGAAAGAGATGTTGCCAATGAATAAAGAAATAACTAAAATCATTACAGGTTGTTGTGATAACAGGAAAGAAACAAGCAGAGTGGTATTATACTAAGCTGGTGGGCTACCTGAGCTATGGTGACCTGGATTGGGAGGTGACATTTGAGTTAAGACTTGAAGAGGGACCAGAATCCAGGGGAAGAGAGCTTTAGATCAAGGGCAACCCATTAATCTGGAGGCTATGGGAGAGTAAGGGGCAGGGGGGAGAGCATAAGATATAGGTCTTCTTTTCTTTCTACCCTTTCTTCACTTCCCTTCTTAAACTAAACTCATTATCATTGAGTGGATGCCAACTCATAGCAGTCCTATACAACAGGGTAGTGTTGACCCTGTGAGTTTCCAAGTCTATAACTCTTTATGGGAGTAGGCAGCCTCATCTTTCTAACTTGGAGTGGCTGGTGGTTTTGAAATACTTCTCTTCTTAAACCTCCCTTAATCAGCCTCTTCCTTCTTTCCTTCTCTCCCTCTTTTCTCCTCCTCAACTTCTCTATCCTCCATCCTCTTCTATCACTTTCAAGAATTCTGCCAAAGCATCTTCACTTTCCCTGCTTGCACTGTTGAAAGACACTGCTTGGATTTGGTTCTTGCCTCCTATGAGCTGAAGCTTTGAGAGGGCTGCCTGGATGACTCAAGCTTTCATGGGTCTACGCTTCCTCAGGACTTTGTAGAACTTATTCTATCACAAGGCGAAGGACTTCCAGATATAATAGTATGTGTTCTTCCCTTGCTCTTTCTCACCTGCCAGTTGACCCAAGAGGGCTGGGATCTCACCTAGTAAAGCTCTCAGTCCAATTGGCTGTATTCATTCAAGAGACGCTTGTCTTTATTCCACATCTAGTATGTGCCTGCCCAGAGGAGTAAAGGTTAGCAAGACACACAGCTTCTATCCTCATAGGGAATGAAAGCTAACTGGTTTTGGGGTCTGGCCCGTGACATAGATGAGTGAAAGGGACCTGAGGTGTGATGACCAGGGTGAGTGGGAGGGCACTATGACAAACAGAAGAACATACCATCTAAAAGTACTCAACTCTGCTGCTTGCCTGGGGGAATGGAAACCACTGTTTGTTAGTTCTACTGAGTTTGTAAAAGAAGTATGACATTTGAATTTTCGTCTTTGGGATCTTTGGAAATTGTAATGCTGGCAAGGGATTTAAAAAATAATGGCAACATTGTGTATATGAAATCAAACGAAATGTATACAGCATTTAATGCAGGGGCTCCATTTGCCACCATTAAGGCAAGCTATAAGAAAACGGCTCATGATTTTGGCCACCACTTTAAGCAGAGATTCCAGTCGTCTTCTGCCCTGTCAGTGTTTATGATGCTAAAGTGCGGGCTATGGAGGGGAGTGGGTCCCGTGTAAATATCACGTTTGACTTGGGCTGCCCTTAGTGTCGACTCAGGAAATGGAGCCTCATTTACTTCTGGTCCAACAGGGAAGTCCTCCTTGGGAATGGCTCTCTTTCGCCTTGTGGAGCCCACAGCAGGGCGGATTCTCATCGATGGTGTGGACATCTGCAGCATTGGCTTGGAGGCCCTCCGATCTAAACTCTCAATTATCCCTCAAGATCCCGTCCTGCTCTCTGGAACCATCAGGCAAGTGCGAGTTCAGATGCCTTGGTGGTGTAGTAGTATACTTTTCTTAGTAGTATAAGATTAGTAAAATAAAACCTCCCATGTGGGAGAGCTGGATTTGATTCTTGGCTGATGCACCTCATGCATGGCTATCACCTATGTATCCACGAAGGCTTGCATGTTGCTGTGATGCTGAACAGGTTCCAGTGGTGCTTCCAGAGTAACATGGACTAGAAAAAAGGCCTGGCAATCTACTTCCGAAAGGTATCCAGACCACAGTGGTCTGATCCACAATCCACCATGTGAATGGGCTTGCCTTGAATCAGGGCAGCTAACAACAGCAGGTCAGATGCCAGTCGGATGCACAGGCCTGACTCCAGAGAGAGGTTTCAAGTCCAGGATTCCAGTGCTGGAATTAGCTTGTGCCCTTGCACCAATATCCCACTTTCTGGTTCTCAGGTCTCTTCTGGCAAATGGAGTTCTTTGTGTTTACCTCGCCCACTGCACTTAAGTGTCCTTGAGGATTGAATAAGGTCTTGATATACATAAGAACACCTGTCAACTCTTATGTTCTAAACAAAAGCAAGGCATAACTTATTAAATACCTCAAACGATTGGTCATATTTCAGTTCACCATTAAACATATGCACTAGAACTGCCATATATATTTGTGTCAGCGAGGGGTTTATTCTCTTCTCTCTATTCAAGGTGAAGCGTTTTAGTCTGGGGATTAAGAAGTGCTGTTTCATAAGGGACACAGTATGGAAAGTGGAAGTGGGAAATAAACAGGTGGGTCAGTCAGGGAAGCAAGCAAGACTAGGGAGTTCAGCCTCTTCATACACTTTTCATTCCTTCAGAAGACAAAGGTCTATCCTGATTAGTGGTTCTACATTGCAATCTATTGTATGTAGGAAGATAAAGGGATGGACACTGGAGAAGATGGGAGAATCTATGATTTTTTCTTTTTTCCTTAACCAAGACCACTATGTATTTCTGCATGTTTTTTTAATCATTCCAATGGGAAACTCTGTTCCCATTAAGCAATAACTAACTCTTCACCCCTCTGATCCTACATCCTGGTAAACAGTGACTTTTTATCTCTTTATATTTGCCTGTTCTGGATATTATATATATGTGGGATCATACAATATTTATATTTTCCAGTGCTTGATTCAATTCACTTAAATTAATGACTTTTAAGGTTCATCCATGCTGTAGCAAGTCTCAGAGCTTTATTGAGATTTATGACTGAATTTATAAATGTATACAATTTTTAATCTATTCATATGTTGATGGACATTTGAGTTCTTTCTCCCTTTAGACTATTGTGAATAATAATGCAATGAACATTGGTGCACAAGTGTCTGTTGAGTTTTTAATTTTCTTGAGCATATGCCTAGGGGTGAAACCTCTGTGTGAGACAGTAATTCTATGTTTAACTTAATAAAATGTGAATTGGATGAAGATTTACATTTCAGATCACAATTTTTAAAAAGCTTAAACAACTTATCAAGCCTCTCAACAGCTTGCCCTGTCTCCTCCTCCCCTTTTTTTGCTTGTTCTTTTCCCTTTTATAGGAGATGAATGTTTAACTTTTCAATGGCCCATCAAACTATTTGCAATAGTGGCTATACCCATCTCACTAGCAATTAGGGAGAGCTCCAATTACTCCACATCCTTGCTAACATGTGAATGCACACACACACACACACATATACATACATACATATATATATGTAATAGTAATCTTAGTGGGTGTGAAGTGGTATCTCATTGTGATTTCAATGTTCATTTTCTTAATTTAATCATTTTATTGGGGGCTTATACAACTCTTATCATAATCCATCCATACATCCATTGTGTCAAGCACATTTGTACATTTGTTGCCATCATCATTCTCAAAACATTTGCTTTCTACTTGAGCCTT